CTGGACGGCGCAGAGGAGGTTCTCTTCCAGCTCTTCTTTAACCGCTCGGTGCCGTGTCCTGCCCCTGCTCTTTGGTAAAGCTCATTCGAACCATGACCTCTTTTTGGTAAAATTGAAAGTCAAACATATGCCATTTAATAGTGCTTGATTGCCTCCCTATTTTTTTTTAAATATATATTTTTATTGATTTCAGAGAGGAAGGGAGAGGAAGAGAGAGGAAGAAACAAACATCAATCATGAGAGAGAATCATTGATTGGCTGCCTCCTGCATCCTCCCTCCCCCCACACTGGGTATGGAGCCGGCAACCCTGGCATGTGCCCTTGACCGGAATCAAACCCGGGACCCTTCAGTCCACAGGCTGACGCTCTAGCCACTGAGCCAAACCGGCCAGGGCTGCCTCCTTACTTTTATCTCGTAAAGCATGAGCTGGTCTTTTCTGAGGTTTCGGAGAGCCGTGCCTGGGACGGGTGTACTTGGTCAGTCCCTCGTACAGCCACCTTGCACCGTGTGGTGTCAATATTCCCAGTCAGGCACGGTTGATAACTTCCGACTTCCCTTTCAGATATTTGGGTTTGTCGTTTTGACTATAAACATCGTAAAACATGAATGTTCTTGTAATGAACTGTGTGCTTATACATGTAACTGCTAGATGACTGTATATACGTGTGTATCTGATTGATACGGAGAATGTGTAATGATGCCTGTGTAATTCTATGTTATCAGTTTTTTCTTGGATGAGGGTGTTTCTGACATCTTTCCCCTGAACCTTCCTGTAATCCTCATTCATGTGAAAGCTTCGCACGTGGTCTTTTCCAGGGTGATCCCAGCCCAGTTCCCTGTCGGCAGGATCCCAGGGGTGGAACCAAAAGATCGTCGGGACGCATCCATCCTTAAAGACCTTGTGGTTCAGTGATGGAGACGATCTTGAAAACAATGCTTGAAATTAATGCAGTTTTTAAAAAAACTGAAATTAAGGGGGAGAATCCGTCCATGGTTAGGGACGACTCAGACATGGAAGGAGGGGGTCAGCCCAGCCTGGTGTCCGAGGGGCGAGCTCCGTTCTCGCTACTCAGAGGATGGCTTGCTCTCTCAGCCTACCCTCCCCCCCAACACCCCCCCAC